ATGCGAGTGGAGGCCGATTCGTGAGGGCAAAGGCATCGCGGGCTAGAGTTTGGACCGGATCGAGGTGAGTAATGATTGTAAATGATGTCCTGAGGGTATGAAACCCCAGATTTACACAAGGGCGCTAGATAGAGCCGAGGGGGTACGCCTCCACCCGCAGACTTCGGCCGGAACTCTGTGTATATATCTATATGTGTAGAAGAATGTCACGACCCGGATTTCCCACCCTCGGGAGTCGTGATGGCGCCTACGAATGAGAGCTAGGCAAGCCAACCCTTAGCTACCTTTGTCATTAACCAATTTACCTCTTTTAACAATTATCAGTAATATCATGAAAACAGCGGAATAAAGTAAATAAGCGAAAGTCTTAAATTAAAGAATCTGAACAACGATGCGGAAAAATCAACATAAACCTCTACCCAAGAACTGGTGTCACATACTCACGAACTACTAAGAGTACTAAATACAACCGTTTGAAAGAAAATATAACTGTTTGTCTCGAAATACATGAGATAACAGACTGAAATAAAGATAGAAAAGACGTCGGGCCTGCGGACGCCTGCAAGGCTACCTCGGTGTCTCGCTGGACTGAAGGCTAACCCCCACGCTACTACAGCTGCTGTCCAACACCTGGATTTGTGCAAAAGAGCACAGAGTGTAGTATCAGCACAACCGACCCTATGTGCTGGTAAGTGTCTGGCCTAACCCCGACGAGGTAGTGACGAGGCTAGAACCAGACTCCAGATAAACCTGTGCAGTTATATAATATATGGCGGAAGAATAAACAGGTAATAAGCAGTTTAAAAGGGAGGGGGTACATGTTTCGGGGAAACAATATCAACCTACAGAAACCAAATAGATATATGAAAGAACAGTACAGCATCTACAACAATACGATAACACTACTGTTGCGGCGCGCAACCCGATCCCTTATCAATTAACACTGTTGCGGCGTGCAACCCGATCCCTTATCAATTAACACTGTTGCGGCGTGCAACCCGATCCCTTATCAATTAACACTTTTGCGGCATGCAACCCGATCCATATATATAGCTGTTGCAGCGTGCAACCCGATCAAATATAATATCTATTGCGGCATGCAACCCGATCCAATATAATATCTATTGCGGCGTGCAACCCGGTCCATATATAAATAGTAATAAAAATGTTGCAGCGCGCAGCCCGCTCCAAATAAAAAGCTTACAATGATCATGACAACAGTCCCGGCAAGGGATTACCCATAATTTATACTATCCCGGCAAGGGAACTCAACAGTACAAGTATACTCATCCCGGCAAGGGAGGACCAGCTATAACCAATCTCAATTCGAATTTTTTTCTTATCATTTCGATTATCACCATTTTTAACTCATAATTAACTTCCACGAAAATAAGCTAAGCCTTTGCTTAATATCACAAGTCTACTCACTATTTCATCCATAATATTATTCAAGAATACATCAAGTATCAATTTAAGACTCACGGTCATTCTCGACACCGACGTATAGATACTCATCACCATGCCTATACGTCGCACTCCACAAGAAACACATAGCAAATACGATTCAACTCCTAATCCCTCAAGCTAAGGTTAAACCGAACACTTACCTCAAACTTCCACGGCCAATTCAATCCACAACAACCGCTTTCCCTCTCGAATTCGGCTCCAAATCAATCAAATCTATACAATAACGACTTCATAACATCAATACCTGCTAAACAAATCAAACCCAATGCCTAATTATAGATTTCCAAGCTTTCTTCCCAAAATCCCAAAAATTGACCCCGGGCCCACTTGGTCAAAACACAAGGTTCAGACCAAAATCAAATCCCCCATTCACCCACGAGCCCGAATATATAAGTTGTTTTCAAATTCGACCCCAAAACGAGGTCTAAATCAAGAAAAATCAAAAAGCTCTAACCCTACCTATTTCTCTAATCTCTACCCTTAATTACATGTTTCAGGCCTAGGAATTCATTAGATGTTGATGAAAAATGAAGGAAACGAGTTAAGGATTACTAACCCACGAAGTTTTGGTGAAAGAAAGCTTCAATGGACGCCTAAGGACCTTGGAGAAGAAGGAGCTCGTGAAAACTTGAGATAAATCCCGTCACTGTTCTGTTTTGGAATTAAAAATATAACTGGGCAAAATTGCCCTTCGCGTTCGCGACAGGCTGGTCGCGTTCGCGAAGGGTAGCACTTACAGGCCATCGCGATCGCGGAAAGGTTATCGCGAACGCGTAGAATAAAAATGCGGGGGTTCAGAAGTTGCTCTATGCAAACGCGTGGGACTTCACGCGAACGCGATGGAGGAGTCCTGGACACTACGCGAACGCGGGGTTACTAGCGCGAACACGAAGGAGAAAAAAAGCTGAGCCCCCCAGGGTCAATTGACCCTACGCGAACGCGAAGCCAATGCTGCGAATGTGATGAAAGGAAAATGGGAAGCTTCGCGAACGCGGAAGATGCGTCGCGAACGCGAAGAAGAAATGGACCTGCAACTGCTGAAGCCAAAATCTGCAATTTTTCCTAAGTTTGAAACCACTCCGGAACACCTCTGAAACACTCCCGAGCCCTCGGGGCTCCTATCCAAACACTTGCACTAACTCAACAACATCCTACGAACTTAACCGTGCGATCAAATCGCCAAAATAACATCATATACATCGAATTAAGCCTCAAAATCCATAATTTCTTCCAAATTTCATAAAACATCAAATTTCCCATTTTAAGTCCGAAACACGTCAAACGACGTCCGATTTCAACCAAACTTTACAGAAACATCTTAAATCATATATAAGACCTGTACCGGGCGCCGGAACTAAAATACGGACCCGATACCAACACGTTCTAATCAATTTTCATTTCAATTTTCCTTAATAATTTCTAGAAAAACAATTTTACTCAAAAATTCATTTCACGGGCTTGGGACCTCGGAATTCGATTCCGAGCATACGTCCAAGTCTCATATTTTTCTATGGACCCTTCGGGACCGTCAAATCACGGGTCCGTGTCCGTTTATCCAAAATATTGACCGAAGCCAAATTTATTCCTTTTAATATCAAAACTTAGCATTTTTCACACAATTTCACATTTGAGCCTTCCGGCTACGCGCCCGGACTGCGCACGCAAAATGAGGCGACTATAAATGAGATTTTCAAGGCCTCGGAAGCACAGATTGAGTAAGAAAACAGGTGATCACCCTTTGGGTCGTCACAAAGAAATATTGTACTTATAGTAAAATGGCACCCTAATGAACAAAACAGCCACTGGGTGCCAGTGGTAAAGGCCCGAAAATATCTCTCTGCCAGCGGGAGTTCGAGGCCAGGGCAACACATAGAATTTTTGGAAATTTTATTAGTACGTACTATTGGACAATTAATGTTAGGTGTACGACAGTTTACTTGTTTGCTTTCTTATCTATTCTTTGTTTTACTTTTTGACTTTTTAACTTATTTAATATTGTTTGACTTTTCTATTGTGCTTTCTTTATCCACTAAAATACAAAAGCTACCTTATTTTCCCAAAAACTTTTCCCACCCAAAATCCTTCTCTTCTACTGCGCTGCTGCCCCAAATTTGGGGATTCTTGGATTTTCACTATTTCAGTCTGTCACTCACCGGCAGTTGGCTACCACCGTATGGTGTCCATTTTTCCATTTCACCTCACCTTGCTGCACTACTGCTTTGTAATTTGACTGTAAATCTCTCTTATACTCTTGCTTCTTTTTTTATTTTTTTTATGTTGGGTTTCTCTGAAAATAAAATTTTTGGTGGTATGGTTAAAATTTAAGAATATAGATTTACAAGTTGCTAAACTCCTTTGATCCTTTATTTTTTCCCTTGTTTTTCTTTTATTCAATTCATAATTTATTTATTTTTCTCTGTTTCAATCTTTAATTTATAGTTTATTGTGTTATTGTGCATATTGTTCTCTTGAATCTCTGATTGTATTAGCTTTTGCATTTTATTGTCAGATAAGCTTTTAAAGCATTTTATTGTCAGGTTTTTATTTTCATTATTTGTTTTGCTCTTGCTGTTGATTCCTTTATGGCGTTCATTGGAAGTTTAGATTTTCAGTCTTAATTCAAACTTATACCAAAAATGCATATGACATCCTTGAATTAATTATGAGTTGGATTGAACATTTATTTTTTAGGAAAGATTGAGATGGATAAATTTGTCGTAAATATGAATTATTCTCAACCAAGTTCTAGTTCTAGTGTGCCATCGTTTAATCAGGCGATAGCTCCAGAAATTCGTACGAATGTCAATTTTTCTCATCTTATCGATGAGCTCGACTCAGAATCATTTAGCACCGACCCAGGAGAAAGAATACACATTGCTAATTATAGCCCTCAATTATGAGATGAGGCGAGGAGATATTACATTCAAAATGGGCCTTGTCAACCTACTAATCATCAATTTCCTAAAACTACAATAGGAGGGAGAATGCGCCAATTTAAACCAAGTTGGTTCAAAAGTTCATTTTCAAGATGGTTGGAGTATAGTGTGAAAAAAGATGCCGCATATTGTCTATGTTGTTATTTGTTCAAAAATGAATCGTTCATGAAAGTGCGGGTGAATGTTTTACCAAAAGTTATTTTAGGGCTTGGAATAAGGCTCTTGAAAGGTTCTGTTTGCATGTCGGTGAGATTACTGGTGCCCATAATAAATGTTTCAACAAGATGCTAAATTTATCAAATCATCATCAATCAATTCAAGTTGTTTTAGACAAGCATTCTGAGAAGGTAAAAAGTGAGTACCAAGCGCGCTTGGAAGCCTCAATTGATGTTTCAAGACTTCTCTTGCATCATGGATTACCTTTCCAAGGTCATGAAGAAAGTGAATCCTCAGCAAGGCTTATTTCTAACTATTTGCGATGGCATGGAGACAAGCATCCGGATGTGGGAAAAGTAATATTAGAAAATGCTCCACAAAATGATACTTTAACTTGTCCTATGATTCAAAAGGATATTTTCAATTCTTGTGCAAGAAACAATGAAATCTATAATTGAAGACTTGAATGGAGATTACTTTTGTATATTAGCCGATGAATCCAAAGATATCTCGCACAAAGAACAAATGGCTCTTGTTTTGCGGTATGTTAATAAGAATGGTGAAGTGGTAGAACGATTTGTTGGCCTTGTCCATGTTAGTGATACATCGGCATGCTTATTAACGGAAGCAATATATTCTTTGCTTTCGGATCACTCACTAAGTACATCCAAAATACGTGGACAAGGTTATGATGGAGCTAGTAATATGAAGGGAGAGATAAGTGGTCTCAAGACTTTAATTATGAAAGATAGCTCATCGGCATATTACATTCATTGCTTCGCTCATCAATTGCAATTAACACTTGTAGCTATTGCTAAAAAGTATTTGGATGTTGAAGAATTTTTTGATCATGTTACTAATATGCTGAATGTTGTTGGAGGATCTTTCAAGCGCAGAGACTTGCTTCGTCATCATCAAGCTGAAGAGTTGGAGCAATTACTTAAGTCCGGTGAAGTTATTACTGGAGAAGGATTAAATCAAGAACGTGGAATCCAAAGCCCGGGTGATACTCGTTGGGTATCCCATTTCGAAACATTGGATAACTTTATTGCTATTTTCTCTTCTATTGTTCATGTGCTTAAATTGATTGAGTATGAAGGTTCTACTTCACATGAAAGAAATCAAGTAGAGTATCTTTTGGGTAAGATTAGAACATTCAAATTTATTGTTGTGCTTCCCTTGATGGTGAAAGTGTTTGTGATGACCCAAGCGGTCATCACTTGATTTTAAAATGAATTTTGCATTCCGAGGCTTTAAAAACCTCTTTTAGCATCACCTCGATTTACGTGCGCAGTCCAGGCGCGTAGCCGGAAAGCTTATATGTGAAAATCTGTAAAAATGGCAATTTTTGACTATAAAATAATTTAATTTGACTTCGGTCAATGTTTTGGGTAAACGGACCCGGACCCATAATTTGACGGTCCTGGAGGGTCCGTAGAAAAATATGGGACTTGGGCGTATGCCCGAAATCGAATTCCGAGGTCCCAAGCCCGAGAAATGAATTTTTGAAGAAAATTGTTTTGTGAAATTGTTTATAAGGTTTTGAAATGAATTTTGATTAAAACTTGATAGTATCGGGCCCGTCTTTAGGTTCAGGCACCCGGTACAGTCTTATATATGATTTAACATAATTCTGTGAAGTTTGGTAAGAAAGGGAATCCATTTGACGCGATTCGGACCTTAAATGCAAAATTTGATGTTTAAAGAAGTTTGGTAAGAAACGGAATCCCTGAAGCATGTTTCCCCCTCCCATCTTTACTTGTTTATTTCTGTATTTCTTTTCCGCTGTATATATTTGAACTGCACAGGTTTATTTGGTAGTCTGGTCCTAGCATCGTCACTACTTTGTCGAGGTTAGGCTAGACACTTACCAGCACATGGGGTCGGTTGTGCTGATACTACACTCTGCACTATGTGCAGATCCTGGAGCAGCTCTTGGACCGTAGTCGGAGGCTACCTTCAGTCCACGCGGAGATCCAAGGTAGACCTGCAGGCGTCCACAGGCCCTGGCATCTCCCTCTATCCCTATTTCCTGTTTCATTTCCCTTTTGTTCAGAAACAGTGTACTGTTATTTCTTCAGACTTTGTATGTAGTAAATCTTAGACCGTCTGTGACACTGTGACACCAGGTTTTGGGTGATTAAGGCTTGAGTAATTGTAATAGACATAGTTTTCAGATATTTTATTGATGTCTTCTGCTTTAATTTAAAGTTCTGTTGTTTGTACATTATCGTCTTATATTTGTTAAAAAGAAATAATTGGACAATGAAGTAAGTAGTTAAAGGATTGGCTTGCCTAGCTCACATTAGTAGGCGCCATCACGACTCCCGGGGGTGGGAAATTCGGATCGTGACAAGTTGGTATCAGAGCTCTAGGTAACATGGGTCTCATAGTTCACAAACAAGCTTAGTAGAGTCTGAGGGATCGGTACAGAAACGTTTGTATTTATCCCCAGAGGCTACAGAGTTAAGAAAAACATCACATTTATTCTTTCCTATCGTGCGGTTTGGTTTCTCAATGCTAATTGAATTTCTACTCTGTTCTTTCGCAGATGGCGAGAACACGCGCTTCCTCATCCACCGACTAGCAACCCGAGCCCCTGGCAGCAGCTCCCGCGAGGGGTAGCGGGCGAGGCCGAGGCCGTGCTAGAGGCCGAGGTAGGGGCAGAGCTCAGTCCCAAGCAGCGGAGCCTCAGGTTGATTTTGATGACGAGGTTCCGGCCCCAGCAGTTCCGGTGGGCCCAGCTCAAGTCCTAGAGGGGTTTATTGCTACCCCACTACTCCAGGATGCTCTGGTCCTTCTAGTGGGCCTTATGGAGAGTGTCACCCGAGCAGGCTTGCTTCCTGTAGCACCAGCCGTCTCTCAGGCTGGAGGAGCAGCCCAGACTTCTGCTACTCGCACT